ATGTATACATGCTTGGCTAGTCCTTGGAGTCTCCATTTCAAGATGTTTGGCCATTGATTTGGGCATGTTTAAGAGCTGCCCACTTTAGTTTAAGTCCATCCTTGCATGTTGTTTCATACTTGCTTCATTTTGCATGTTGTTGCATGCTATGCATGTTTGCATGTTAGGTTGAATGCCTATTCCATATTAGATGCATTGCATGATCTTGTTGTATGTTTGAGTTGTTCGCATCATGCTTGCGTGTTTGCATTGCATTATGTGTGCATCCCTTGCCTCTTGATCAAGCATGATAGAGGTTGGGGTCCCTTATGTGTTTTCTGCATTTCATTTGATATTGAATTACACACTTGACTCCTTTGGCCATCATGCATTAAAATGCGTGACTGTTGGCCCGAGGGTGGAGGACCACACTTCCTTGAGTCTCAAACATGATAAGGAGAGTGGTCGTGCAAACATTGCCTTGAAAATGCATTGCCATGCTCTGTTTGTCCTCTGCTGCAGCAAAACAGCTTTCTGCAGGAAGAAATGGTCAACCGACCATATTCAGTGCCAATCGGCTAACCATTTCTGGCTGATAGCATCACAAGTGGCCGACAAATGGCCGATGGCCTCATCTTTTGGTCGATGACCTCCCAAAATGTCCCTAAGGTGGTTCAAAAGTGTCACAGAAGTTGGCACAGTTGGCACAATCTTCAGAGGTACAGAGCAGTGCAAACAGAGGCGGCATGAGGCATGGCGATGGATTTCCGAGCGAAGCCAACCGAGCATGCATCTGGCCCTCTTCCCGAGGCTGCTTTACTGTTTTCATAGCTTAATTAATTTGTTTAATTAGTTAAGTGTTGTGTAATAATTAATTAGCTTGTTAGTTAGTTAATTTGTATTATTCTTTCGGACCCTCCGTCGAGAGGGCCAAATTTTGTAATAAGTATGCGTGAGTGTGTGAATGTCTTCCAACCCCGCGTCTTTCTCCCTTTTATTTATCAGCTTTCGATGGTTAGTTTAGGGCATGTTTCAATTAACATCCTTATGCTCGCATGTTTGCATCCATTCATCTGCCTTGCATGCACCAGGCTCGGCGCATCATACTAACTGTATTGTATTTCAATACCAAGTTGAATACATGTATCAATTGTTGCATTTCACATGACATCTTAGAATAGCCGAGCCTATTTCTAGTTGCATTTTGCATGTGTTGCATTAGCCATTTTAACATGAAGTAGGATCATGCATTGATTACTAACTAGTTTCTGTTTTGGCTCGGAGTTGTGACGCCCCGATTCTACACTATAGGTTGCAGTCAAGGGAGAGTCACTAGTGAGTCCTATGGCCAATAACCAAGTAAGATCCCAGATCGCCGGAGGAGTCAAAATAGCCTCCCTTCTAAGTCCAGCTTTCTTAGGCAGCGCACTACCTTTTTGACAGATCTTACAAGGCATTGACACAAGGCCTCATAAGCAACGATAAGGTTCATACATAGAATATAAATACATAATAACCACAATATACTTGCTTCAAAAGATTGTTCCATTACATTACATCCCAAAAAGAAGTTTTACGCTTCATATGAGTCTTACAAAAATATCCAAAAAGAAACTTCTAGTATTCCTAAGATGGCCAAAAGTCTTCAAAGGTTCCCGACTCGTCGTCTTCCGCTATGAGTTCCGTTTCGTCACCTGGCATGATACGCCGTGAGCTTTGAATGCCCAGTAAACACACACACACACCTTACCCATTTTTCCCAGTCCAATACACAGTCACAACTATAACATCAAGTAATAAAGCATGATACTCAATTAAATAAATAAGGGTTTTAGTTAGATGTTAGCAAACTAGAAATCCCCCAAAGAGATTTCATCCTCCCAACCACAAGAATCGGACGCGGATTATTCGGTATGCCCCCTCTTTTGCTGCTTTGTTGCAGAACTAACCTCGGATGCCTACCGAAGGTTATATACCGTGTAGCGCCAACCGCAGGGCCTCAAAAGAGACGGTGAAATAGGGCCTTGCCCGAATCCCTCCTCACACCAAACCACCTAGGGTCCGAATACAACCGCTCCGTTCAAGGGTTCCGAAAACCACTTGCGCAAGACTTTAACTTTCGAATAGGGAACGCATCCCAACAATCCATATGACACATATTCTCATCTTTCTATTTCTCAAGTGCTCGAAAACCCAATACCCTCCCAGTTAGGTTTCCCGTTGAATTAAGTGTTTTAAGTCAAGGTTAGTTCAACTAAACGATAAAATAAAATTCACATAAGCATGCCTCCTCAAGATAAGAAGATAATTAACATAACATACCCATACAACATTATGCCAAGATATGATAATAGGCCATTAGACATTTTCATGAATACAAGGGTATAAAACATCCAAACATAACAAATTTCCAGATTTACATCACATGAAGGTTAATATGGAAGGACTACTTAGGTTCATCCACCGGACTCGGTTTTCCTTATGGTTCGTAGAGAATTTGATCTAGTTCCTAGAACATCTTTCGGAAATGGGATTGCTTTTCCCGATTTTAAGTTATTTAGAAAATAGTCCAGCACTGTTCCAGAATCTGCCCAGATCTGTCGACTGTTACGAAAACTTGATTTTCTTGCAAACCATTCAATGTTTTTTGATGAAAATAATTTTAGTTGAAATCTAACTCCTTAAGGAAGGTTTTGACATAAAATAGAGGTTCAGAATATATTTGTACATTTTTCTGGAATTTTTTAAAGTTGACTGAAAAAAACAGGTTTTAAGGTGGAACGCCTAAAACAAGGAAATTTATAAAAAAGGGGGTTCCACCATGGGAAAGTTTCATTTCTTTTGTGAAGAAAATATGCTAACTATCACATGTTTAACTCAGAAAATTTGTTTGAAAGAGTACCCTTGAAAAGTTGAGAGATTTGTACAAGAGAGATGGAAACAATACTCAAATCTTGGTATTTTTAACATAAGAACATGATAATAACAGATCTGAAACATCGCTTAAAATCTTTAAAAGGACATGCATTAGAAAATAAAATGAAGAGAAGGTTGTGTTGGTGGCTTACCTTCTAACTTTGCACAAGAAACTCTCTTCTTCTTCCCTCTCCTCCTCTAGACTTCTCTTCCTTGCTCTCCTCCCTCTCAAAATGTGTTTGTGAGTGAGTGTGTTGTGTGTATGTTTGCAAGCTAGGGAGGGTGTGGTATATATAGGCAAATTTGGGGTAAAAGGACATAAAAGCCCTTTAGTTGAAAATTGATGGAAAAGCTAAGATTTTGGTTGGTGTCAAATGGGATAGGAGTAACTAACACTACTGGAAATGAGGGTTTTAACGGCGTTTAAAAAACGGCGCTAATGGTCACAAAAACGCGGCCGTCGCTATAACTTCGTGACGCTTTTAGAAATGTCGCTATATTACTAAAGGCGGCGTTTTCTAAAAACGCTGCTAAAAGTTATATTAAGCGATGTTTTTGAAACGCCGTCTTATCTCTTTCCACCAAAAAAAACCAACCGTTTGGCGACGTTTTTAGAAACGCCGTGATAGCACTTTTTTTTTTTTTTTTTAAATTGTACTGATTTTATGTTATTGAACTAAAAAAATACCGAAAATAAAACTAAAAAATAGCACTAATATGAAATAATAACTCCCATTCACATAGTAAAATCTTATCAAATGATAGTCCACAATCATTGTGCAAAAAAAAAAAAATATTCACACAAATCATTTGAACAACATTAAGGAGTCACCAAAATAGGATGCCCCTCTATTTGAGCCAAAATAGGAATCTGGGCATTTCAGTCAACTTGATATTCATATTCTCATTCACAATAATCACATTCACATGCAAATCCTTTTCCTACCATATCAACCTAGTTCACCAAAATAGGATGCCCCTTTATGCAGTGTCATGCGTCTCTGCAATTACATTGGGAATCTGAGTTTTGTTGACTTGTAATCTAGCCTCTTCATCTTTGTCTCCGATGCATTTTTCCCATTTATCTCTGTTGTTCCCTGAACTTAAAAACATGTATACAATTGGGGAGAGAGAGAGAGAGAGAGAGAGAGAGAGAGAAGTTGATATCAATAATCACAAACAATAGAAAACAATTATCCATAAACGATTAATTCTCAACAAAAGACTAATTCTCAACAGGTAATTATAACAGTGAAATGGAAATATAAGCTACAATGACTAATTCTCAACAAAAGAAAATTTCATAAAGAAAACAATCATCAATCCATATTGATATCAGTAATCATAAAGTTCAATATAAAACATATATCCATATATCCATCACCCAATAGGACATTAAGCTAGCAAGTTTGCAACATATCTCATTCCAATTTTGCACCCACTTAATTCCAAGTACGTCAAATTCAAGACTCAAATCTACATATATATATATATATATATATCAGCCATTTCTAATAATGCTTCCTTTCCTGATACTATTGCTATGCACAGTACTATTGTCTATCCACCAAACAATTCACCATTTCCCTCACAAGGCAGTAACAAAAGTGCTGCAATGTCCAACTCTAACGATTTTTTTAATTGAGAGACAGATTTAAGAGATATTAAATGATAGCCGAAGTGATATCTATGAAATTAACCCAAAATATTATGTTCTAATACAGTGATTTGATGATAGAGACAGAGAATAAGGTGCATTTCCAAACAAGCTAGTCAAAAGGAAGAAGAAGACAAATAAAAAGAGTCCTTTATGTGTATTTAAAAAGCAATCAAATTCAGATTTCAGATTAACATAATACAAATATTAGACATCAATCAAATCTTAAAAGCAATATTAAACAATAATGTTTGATAAGCTCAATAAAATTGTTATAACTCAACAGACAGTCACTTCAAGAACCAATGGACCAAATAACAGATAACATTACAAAACCATAAAGATCAAGCAGTTTATGAAATAGATATAACATTATCTAAGCAGATTATGAAACTATTATAGGAAAAGTAAATTCTTACTTCAGAAAAATCTGCAAAAAGTATGGCCTGACTTGCAATTTAGTGGTAGAAAAATCAGCAAGATGTGCTTGTAAAAATTTTGAAAGCACAGATTGATCAGCATTTCTGGAATGTGAATCAGTTGCACCATTTCCAAACCAGTCGAAATAATCAGGGCAGAAAGAAGTCCCAACACTCTCAAGAAAAGCTTTTATTTGCTGCAATTGTATTGTCAGAATCAAATTACTTCTCCGTAATGTAATCAACAATAATTCTAACTTGTCCCTTCTCGATAATGTACAATCCCAAGAAGGCCTCATCCTTCATACACGGCAAAATGTAAGGGAAGGAAGATTAAAAAAAAAATAAGACATTTAATTCGAAATAGAATATTTACCCTATCAGCTATTATCTGCCCATCAGAAAAGGAAACTTCAGAAAGAGATTCTGCAATGTGACTCAGCTGTAAGATTGTCAACCTCGAGAGTAGATCTACTGATCAAAGCAACTTCAATGATGATAAATTTGAAAATTTTGACGTAAGAATTCCTCGAAAATCGTCCCTTTTTAAAGCCCAAAGAGTTCCACTTGTCACAGCACGGACAGAGGCCTGGAGTGGTTTGTTATTCCTAAGTGAAATGTACCGGAGGAAACCACATACAGTAAGAATGAAACTACCATGGTTAACATTAACAAATTCAAGGAAATCATGATCCTGAATGTTCACAATAAGTCATGAAATGAACCATGTTTCTTAGAAAATAATTATGGATCTAAGATCACCAGAGTTGTGTTTGTCTAAGAACACTAGAAATAATCCTGATCAAAACATGTCTGCAATCATTTCTGATTTAAATTATGCTGGACCTTTTGATCTTAGGTACCAATAAAGAGTATGTAAAGTCAACCCATCAATGATTAGGTGGGATCCACAAATGTAGTGGCTGATGATTCTCTTTCGCTTATTCAAAGGGCTAATTATTTATACACCATTTTACTCATTATGTAAACATGAACGACATTTTTGGAAAATATGATACTGACACTTAAATCCAGATATAGGAAAATTATTAATGGAGAGAGTTTTACTCGTTTAAGTAAACATGAACGGAATTTATGGAAAATATGCTACTGACAATTAAATCCAGATACAGGAAAATTTAATGGAGAGAAAGAGAACTCACATTAGTGCCAGCTCTCCAAATGATGATAATCTTTCGGCTGTATACAGATGCAGAACCCTTGGAACCTCTCCATCTTTTTCTTCTTGCTATTTATGATATCTTATTAACATTGTAATTGAAGAAATTTACAAGGAATAAGCTGCAACATAAAATCAGAAATATTCTCCTCTAGAAAACATGTATTTCATAAGAAGACAACTATTGGTCTAAGACAACTAGGAATGTCATTTACTGAACATTTCAGAAGACAATTTTAATAATCAAATAAAAAGATATCATATGAGTTCACATCCACAATGTTGCTTTGACTTGGGTCACTAACCTTACAAGTGCAGTGGACCTCTTTGCCCATTTCCCCTGACTAATTGCATCTTTCAACTCATTATATGAGTTCGCATCCACAATGTTACTGCAGAGGAATTATAAATGTGTTAACGGTATTATCCGAATAATATACCAAAATTCAACAAATACAAAGCAAGGAAAACAAACTATCAAACATAGCAGAAAGGCAAAGATTTGGTGAACAAATTCAAAGGACTAAAAGATGGGAAGCAAGAATACAAACTGTCTAATACAGAGAAGAGAGGCAAGCAGTCAATGTACCACGCTTAAGGAAACAAAATTTTGACTTCAAAACTCGTATGTGCTGACTACATAGATCCATTATGTAATCAAGCAAGTATATGATCCAATCTAACTAGATCTAAAGCAAGTATATGATCCACACTTTCACTTGATTGATCTAAAAGCTTCACAAAAGAAATCAAGGAAATATGCAATACACATTCTACCTGCTTTGTAGAAGCTCTGGACAACAGAAGATTAGTTGTTACCATTCCCGGCTGCAGCCAACAAGAGGGAAAATTATGTAACAACGCTTTCACTTGATTGATCCAATGACCCATTACCAATGACACAAGTCCAAAAAGCATTAGCTCTGCCAAAAGGTAAAGGCATGACATATTTGAGATGAATGAAAACAACTTTGAAATGCTATTAGAGATCATTGTCCATTTAGGACATATTTGTTAGGATGGATTAGATTAGATGAAATTAATGTATGTTAGCTTTAGAATTATTGATCTTTTTAAATTGTGTATTATATCCCATGTTTTGATTAACTTATGATTATGAGAAGAAAAATGTTAAAAACAGTTTTAAAGCCTATTAGTAGGGTTATGTGTGAACACACTATCCGGAACTTGCTACAAGATGTAATATTTTCCACGTTAAGTTCTATAAATTACCAAGAAAATAATGAAAATGTCCGAGTTCATTACCTCAGGCTTGAGGTCACGGTGAACTACACCTTGGAGATGACAGTAGGCAACCATACTCAAAATCTGTACCACGATAGCCTTTGCATCTTCTTCCGAGTATTTTCCACCTCTAGAGAGCATAAATCAGAAATTTATATGGCCAAAAGATTGCAGAACAGGCCAA